TGGACAATATCAAACCAACAAAAACCTTTACAAGTTGCATCAGTGACTTAGGAGATGCTCCTTCTAATAAAGCAAATTCACAAAACCTTGCACCAGCAAGGGGAGACCTCATCATAAGAGTAACACAGCGATTGCATGCCTCTTCAGTTGTTAATCTTGAAGGGAAGTATGATGGTAGAAGTAGTCTTGTAATTTTTTGCGCAACTGGAGATTGATCAGTTGCAAGTGTATTCAATAAGACACTTAAATCCACCACCTTAATCATCACAATGAAAAACATTAGTTAACCAACTAATGAGGAAAAAAAGGAAGTAGACTGCTCTTTTTGCAACAAGAAATTTTGAAAAAGTGCCTTATACCTTATTAAATTGGAAAGAACAATTGTCCCTTAGAAGGAGGAGAAGATCTACTAAAGCAACTCGAACGATAAGTATCTTGTCAAGCATTAGATGCTTCAGTCTTGGCAGAAGCACTTTAAGAATTTCATGAGATTGTGGATTGCCAAGCAAATAAATAATGCCATTTAATGAAGAAAGCCTAACCTCACTGCATAAGTCGTGGGACATTTCATCAAAAACTTTAGTAAGCATCTTAGTAATGGTTGGTGAAGGGATTATTTCCCAAAATAAATGGAGGATGCGGCAACAACCTTCCACCGCAACAACTCTCACATCAGGACAATCATCCATAAGTAATCTCTCAATAGACACTAGACATATTTACCAACTACCAGTCTAAGAGAAGAAGACCAAGTTCATCAACAAAAACACAAAAACTTGGCCTGTAATGAATCCACTGATTCTTCACAGCTTCCTAAGTTCCCATTGTTAAGTGCCTTAGCTGAGCTGAGTGTAGTTAGTGATAGTGAGTGCTGTGCAAAGACTATAAGAATTATCAAACACTATGTGCTGTTTGTGTTTAAGACGTAATACATATTAACAAAAAAAACATTTGCAGAGCCATATTAGATCAGTCATCAAGGACAACAGAATTTGGAGAGCTCCCATCATAATCTGACAAAATAAAAATACATAAGTCATATTCATAAGTCATAACCAAGTTAAACATAAAGTTAGGGTATAAGCTATAAAGACAAGAAAAGAAAGAAAAGAAAAGAAAAAATTATATTACTATTTATGTTGCCAAATTGTTGGTAAAATTACAAAAACTGCCACCGTTTTAGGAAAAAAATCATTAAAAATATTCTAAAGTTGAAAAAAAAAAGCTTTGGGCCAACAGCAAATTTGGTAATTTGGAGGTCCATACGGTAAACATGGTAATGAGCCTACAATACCAATCCCGTACTATAAATTTAAATGATATTGTCATATTACCATTTAGACCTATCATATGATAATTTCTCATTTTCTGCTAGTAATGGGATAGTACAATGATAATTGCAGCATTTATGGTATAATGCCCATCCCTAATCCCTAATCCCTACAATCCCCTTCTCGGTCACTTGGCCTCTGCTATAACTGAAGAAAGTATGACTTGATAATCTCATTCTACAACAATAGGTTTTCTTTTTATATACAATTCAATTCTTCACAGATTGATTTCAATCTATATATCATGTTATTATGTTTCGAAACCAACCAAGTTATGCAGTATCTACTTTCAAATTTTACAAAGTGATATCAAATAGCACTAAAAAAATGGTGTTTTTAGTATTTTGTACATAAATGGTTAAAACTCTATTTTACTCAATGTTATTGATA